GGAGCCCAATGCGGGGCTCGATCCCAGGACCCTGAGATCATGACCTGAGCCGAAGGCAGTCGCTTAACCAACTGAGCCACCCAGGCGCCCCCCAAATTTCCTTTTGAAATGAACTTCAGTAATGAAGAAATGAATTAATCACAAGACACATTCAGAATGCATTCCATTCACATCATGGGTCCTTGCTTGGCTCTTTTTTTTTCAAGTTTTTATTTAAATTCCAGTTAGTTAACATATAGTGTAATATTAGTTTCAAGAGTAGAATTTACTGATTCACCACTTACATATAACACCCAGTGCTCATCACAAGGGCCTTCCTTAATACCCATCCCCTATTTAGCCCATCCCCCCCCACCCACCTCTCCTCTAACAACCTTCAGTTTGTCCTACAGAGTTAAGAGTCTGTTTTATGGTTTGCCTCTCTCCTTTTTTCCCCCATGTTCATCTGTTCCATTTCCTAAATTCCAATATGCGTGAAATCATATGGTATTTGTCTTTCTCTGATTGACTTATTTCACTTTGCATAATACTCTCTAGCTCTATCCATGTCATTGCAAATGGCAAGATTTCATTCTTTTTTATGGCTTTTTTATTCCATTGTGTATATATACCACAACTTCTTTATCCATACATCAGTCGATGGACATTTGTTCTCTTTCCATATTTTGGCTATTGTTGATAATGCTGCTATGAACATCGGGGTGCATGTGCCTCTTTGAATCAGCATTTCTGTAACCTTTGGGTAAATACCTAGTAGAACAATTGCTGGATCATAGGGTAGTTCTATTTTTAATCTTTTGAGGAACCTCCATACTTTTTCATTAACTTGTACATTCTTTAAAGATATAAGTACAATCATGAGCCCACTATCTACTGCCCATCCAAAGACTGTACCTTACAACTTTCTATGAGTTGTTTCATTGATTTAACACTTAGTTCTTTTCCACAGAAGAATGTTTATAAACTGTGGTGCCAACCTAAGATGGAAAATTAGATACTTAAGAAAGTGAATGGAAAATCCTAAAACCTTTAAAAAAAATCGTACTGAAATTGGTTACTTCATAAACCTTGCCACATAGCTCCATCATAGACCCATCTTTGGTTTTCTTTGATTTGATTTTTACATGTAAATATTTATCAATAGCTTTAATATTCATTCGTTCACTCTTTAATTCATAAAAAAATTGACAAACTAGTCACTTTTTTTAAAAAATGAAAACGGTTAAATAACATAAAAAATGTCTAACTTCCCAGAAACCCAGAATAGAAATGCTACTGTGTATATATCTGTGTGGTTCTCCTGACTCCAACTGGAGAGAGCTGAGATTTTTGTCTTAGGAGGGATAAAACATGAGTAGGACTGCTGGATCATGCATCACCACATTCTAATCCCTGGCCATGGATTATATATATGTATATATATATACATATATAATGTATTCACTTATTAACTTATTTATTAATTTATAATGATAAATGTGCACCGTTGTATGCAAACTCAAGATTATAACAGGAATTAATAAAAACTGTGTCCAGTTTTTATCACTATCAAAAATGACAAAGGACTATATACTTCTTGTCCAACGTTACTGAGAAATTATTGATAAATATAGTTGTATATATTTAAAGGGTACAACGTGACATTTGATTGACATATACATCGTGGAATGATTACCAATCGACCACAGTGAAGCCAACTGGATTGGTCATAATTTGGTATGGGACTCAATTTCGTCACTGGTTCATGCTTGACCCCCTTTAATATAGTTAGTTCATTATATTATATAAACTTTTTCCCTATTTCTCAAATGAAAAAAACAAAAACAAAAACACCTGCAACCCAGAGACAGCACAGAATATGAATATCAACAACTACATGCATCTGTCCCTATGTCCCTTCTGATGAGGTATAAATGCTTAATATATTTTTAATAGACTTCTGATTCTTAGAAATGAATTCGTAATAATGTTAATTTCATTACATATGCTATAGTTATTGCACGTTTGGCCCTATTTTTCCTTCATTTACTCATACATTTTTTTACTTATTATTGCATTGCTTAATTTTAATAAGCAATCAATATTTGTGAAACTCAAAAGCCCAAGAATAAAATTCTGGGATAGCTCTAACAACTGCTTACAGGACCATTTATAACAGAATCAACAGACTAGATTTCTTTTTACGTTGGATCACAAAGTTGTAGATAAACCTTATTCATCCTTGCCTCTTATGCTACTGGTCCTCAGGATTGGTCCAGATTTTGCCCTCTTTTTCTTCATTGAACCATAATTTTGTTTAGAGATTAATTCATTAATGCACTAATAATAAAAAATGCCCACGAGGTTTTGAAAAGTGACTTTAATATCCCCAACATCTGTACCTAAAATCATTTCTACAGGGCTAATAGTCTAGATCTTCTTTGTTAGCTGACCGAGGTGTTGAATGTATGGATTAGCCAACATGCTCATTTTAACCTCTTACTTCATCATTAGTGCCCGGTTGGCAGGGACTAATGTGTAACATCTGTCCATAGAATTATTTCCACAAGCAATTCATTTCTTTCATTAACAGACCTCAGTGTTTGGTATATGGATTAATAAACACGATGCTTCCTATTAGTTGCATTTGGGGGCCATGGTTGGCATTTCACATTTTTTAACAATACAGTAAATACCCTTAAACAAACCACCCAAACTGAGACAAGAACACTGACTATTACTCACGTTAATCTCCATTCTCCAACACATAGACACAGCCATAGAACTTGTGGTCACGGAAGAATGTTTAAATCACCGTGAGTGCGTCCATTCTGCGGGGTACAGAGCAGAGCAGATGAAAACAAAAAGCTTTAGACGTTATCTCCACTGGTCCTTGCACCCCACCTCTCATCTAGTCAGTCACTTAGACAATTTGCAATTGGGGGAACTGTTTATTTAATGTCTCCTAATAAATGAACAATAATGACCTCGCCACCGACATAGAATATGAACATTGCCTATTACTATTTAACACTGCCTACAGAGTCCTTCACCAAAGAGGCAACACCTTTGTTTGTATCATTTATTTCCTAATGGACAGGAGTGTGTTTTCCATACACATTAATAGTATTTCTTGTCTCGATACATATTTTTATAACTGGACAATGCTTTATGACCTTGACCTTTACTTATATATTGTTTGTAGATCAACTCATTGATCCAATTACAAAAATAGAGAATGGATGAACATGAACCCAAAACAGGATCCTTCTAAATTCATGATATCTGTCTATAGGATCACTTCACACAGGGAAGTGGACTAGAGTGCATTTCTGTTGGACCTCAGAGTTCCAGACACGTATTCATCGTATACGACTCATACGCCACCAGTGGTCATCATCGATCCAATATCGTCTCTCTTTTTCTCTATTCAGTGCTACATTGTTTATGCACTAATTCATTAATTCACTAATAATAATTTTAAGGTGCTATTATTCACTAAAATGCAAGAAGAGACTTGCTATCTCTAATCTCTCCCTAGGATCATTCTCACATCAGTGTATCACTCTCATTAATTATAATGTTTTACATAAATGCATTAATCAATATAATCAATCCCTATTAATCAATATAATCAAATCCGTATTTGTCACTGGGCTACAGTTGCCCTTACTTGATTATATTTCATACTTCTTAATGATACAGTGAATACCTTTAAAAAAACACACACACAAGAAGAAGAAGACAAAAACTTTGACAACTACTCACATTGGTCTCTATGCTCCAAATTCACAGATGCAACCAGAAAGCACATAATCATGGAAGTATTTACAACTGCTGGAGTGAGGGGCACCTGGGTGGCTCAGTCGTTAAGCATCTGCCTTCGGCTCAGGGCATGATCTCAGGGTCCTCGGATCAAGCCCCGCATCGGGCTCCCTGCTCAGCGGGAAGCCTGCTTCTCCCTCTCCCGCTCCCCCTGCTTATGTTCCCTCTCTTGCTGTCTCTCTCTATCAAATAAATAAATAAAATCTTTAAAAAAACAAAACAAAAAAAAACAACTACTGGAGTGAGTCCATTCTGAGGAGTACAGAGCAGAGCAGATGATAACAGGATGGAGAGACACTCTATTGGTGCAATGATTTTACCTTCATATTGTCTGTCACTTAGGAAAATAGCATGGTGGGGTTGTATTTATTAATTTTCTCTGAACAAACAATATCAAACTTGACACTGACCAAGAATAAGAATTTTGGCTGCTATTTATTGTCTGTATTCTCCTTAGCCAAAGAGATAAAACACTTGAACCATTTACATTTCTTAATAAACTCCAGTATTTTCAATAAACGTTCATAATTTTATTAGGAGTAGACATGCTTCACCCTCTTATTATACTTGCATATTAATTCTTCTTTGAGCCATTTGTTACAGTAGAATCAAAATTCATGAAAATGAACCAAGAAAATGGTCCTTTTTCTTTCCCTAACATCTGTCCATAGGATCACTTCAAAGAAAAGCAATAGACTATATTTTTTTTTTATTGGACCTCAGAGTTTGAGACACGTAATATTCATCATCCATAATTCATACGCCACCAACTGTCATCACTCGTCCAAATCCAGGCCTCTTTTTCTTCATTCTCTTGTACATTACTTCATTAATTCCTTAATTGACTAATGTAAAATTTTAAAACCCTGTGATTCACAAAAATCCAATAATAAGAGCAATGAATATTCTACCTCTGCCTATAGGATCATCTGCCACATTGTTACATGTCTTACTCTGGTGATCATCCACACCTCACATATGCGTTAGCAAATGTTATATCCCATATTTAAAGGTTCCCATATTGATGGTTTTAAATTGTATTTCACACATTCAACAATACAGTGGATACCTTTTTTATTTTTAAAGATTTTATTTATTTATTTGACAGAGAGAGACACAGCGAGAGAGGGAACACAAGCAGGGGGAGTGGGAGAGGGAGAAGCAGGCTTCCCGGAGAGCAGGGAGCCCGATGTGGGGCTCGATCCCAGGACCCTGGGATCATGACCTTAGCCGAAGGCAGACACTTAACGACTGAGCCACCCAGGCGCCCCTATAGTGGATACCTTATTTTAAAAACTTTTAAGCAAATACAAGAGCTTTAACTTTTACTCACATTCATCTCTATGCTCAGAGCATGCAGGAAATCACAGACCTTTTGACCATGGAAAATGCTTGCATCAGCTGGAGTGTGTTGATTCTGAGGAATGTTAACACAGAGCAGATAATTAAAAATTGAAACTTCTTCCATATTAGTCCTTGTTTTCGTCATTTCATTTTTCCAGCTATCTGGTGCTAATTAATTTTTCACAACATGTATACATATGAAAATATAAACAGGTATATTACAAAATTAACATCCTCAAATTAAGAATGACCCAGGCTTACAAAATTCGATGTTGCTTATCTGTGTCAGTGTCTACATGATCCTTACAAAAGGAGATAACACCTTTGGTCCATTAATTTTGCAACCTGCAACAGTTTCTTTAGGTTACATAAAGGATTTCTTGCCTCATCAAATATATTCATAGTTGATAAGGCTTCATCCTTTTTTTATTTATTTATACATGTTTAATGGTTCTATCATTGTTCCATGTATGTTATTAATATAGGAATCCCTAAATCAAAAATGGCAGGAATATTATCCTTGTATATTCCTCACATCGATCCACAAGATCGTTGTGTTGGACCTCAGACTTCCAGACACATAGCATTCATCGTATAGGACTCATACGCCACCAGCTGTCATCATTGGTCCAGGATTGGCCCTCTTTCCTTTATCCTTATCCATTAATTCACGAATCTACTAACAGTAATTAAATAAATATTTATGAATCGCAAAAATGCAAGGACAAAAGCCTTCAGTATTTCTATCATTTTTCTTTAGAATCATTGCCTAATTAAACAAAGTTCTTCATTAACCACCCTCCTTGTGGTAAAGGTAGGGTGGTCAACATAATGTTTCATACAGTTCCAACTTAGTCATTGGACAATGGTTGGTCCTTTTTCTTCTATTAAATACTTTTTAAATAATTACAGTGATACCCTAAACAAACCCTCCAAACCAAGACAAGAACTTTGATTACTACGCACGTTCGGCTTCACGCTCCCACACAGAGAGGCTAGCCTGGAGCGCCTGAACGTGGGGGATGCTTACACCAGGTCAGGTGTCTTCTTTCTGAGAAGCACGAAGCAAAGTAGATGAGAATAAGACTGAAATGTGATCTCCCGTCTTCTGCACATTCTACTTTACACGGAGTCAATCATTTGAAAATACATTAACTTGCAATCATGCTTATTAATTTTCTATTTAAAAAATGCATTAATATCATACTTGCTACTGACCCAGAATAAGAACTTCTCTATTACTGAGCACTAAAGAGGTAAGGCACATGACCCATTTATTTTTCTTAATGGAATTCAGTATATAAAATACCTTTGAATGGTTTTTATTGCTTCACCATGTACACTGAGAGTGCATATGCTTCATGCCCTTCATTTTTACTTTTCAGTATTTGTACATTGATTCTTAAATTGATCCACTGATAATAAAAGAATCAAAATTCAAGAAAACAATGTAAGAAAATGGTCCCTTTACAGTTCTAAAATCAGTCTACATAATAATTTGAGACAGTAATAGATTATATTTCTTTTTGCACTGGACCTCAGAGTTCCAGACACGTAGTATTCATCGTCCATGACTCCTACGCCACCAGCCATCATCACTGGTCCATATTTCAGCCCCTTTTTCTTCATTTTATGTATATTATTTAATTCCTTAATTCACTAATATTAATTTTAAAAACCCAATGATTCACAAAAAAATGAATAAGAACATTGAATATTCTACATCTGTCCCTAGAATCATTTATCACATTGATATAATCTTTTTCATTAATCATTCTTAATGTATCATAAATGCATTAATAAATGTAACACTTGGTAATACTCCAGTATTTATCACTGGCCATGATCAGCCTTTCGAATTATATTCACACTATTAATAACACAGTAAACACCCCTTTTTTTTTTACAACCTGTCAAATGAAAACATGAGATTTATTACTCACATTGGTCTCTGTACACCTGAAACACAGATGCAACCAGAGAGATTGTGACCAAGAAAGAAATCTTCAGGGGCGCCTGGGTGGCTCAGTTGGTTAAGCGACTGCCTTCGGCTCAGGTCATGATCCTGGAGTCCCGGGATC